AAGGACTTTGGACTGAATAGGTTTTCTATCTCTTTAGTCCTTAAGTGTCTTGGTTGTTCAATGCATGTGACTGCATCGTAGTGCGTATTGTTGTCTGTGTCCGTTGTTTCAAGTGTGGTTGATTGTACTGTGTAGTACATTGTCTGTTTGGTGACGTATTGTATGTAACTATTGTGGAGTGTGCATACGTGTGTATTGTTTTTGATCTGCCGTTAATGAGAATATAATTTTGTTTGTTTATCATCTCTCGGCTCTGTCTTGTTCTTTGGGCCACAGCCGGCGTCCGCGACATAGGACCTTTTGGTGCACAGTGTGTCCAAGGTAGTAAGAAAGAGCCTCGAGTTGTTGATAGTGCTATCGGAACGATTTTGTGTGTTGTTCAGTGTTCTCGTTAACGAGTGCAGGGGAGTGTTCCGATAGACTGATTTAGGCAGATACTTTTGCACGCGGCAAGACTTTATTTGCGAGACACAATGGATCTCGAAAAGTTAGTAGCTCTTGGTGAGAAGATGGGTCTTTCTGGCGCCGAACTACGGAAGTGGGTAAGCCAGAAGGAGAAAGAGGCGGTGGAGAGAGAGAGGTTGGCAGCGGAGAGAGCCAAGGAAGAAAAAGCCGCTGAGTTAGAACGAGAAAGGTTGGCAGCTGAGAGGGCCAAGGAAGAAAAAGCAGCTGAGTTGGAACGAGAGAGGTTGGCAGCGGAGAGAGCGAAGGAAGAAAGAGAGCAACAATTGAAGTTGGAATTGGAGAGAGAAAAGTTGGCAGCTGAAAGGGCGAGAGAAGAAAGAGAAGCAAAGGAGCGACAGCTGAAAGAAGAAAGAGAGGCAAAAGAGCGACAGCTGAAGGAAGAAAGAGAGCAGCAATTGAAGTTGGAGCTGGAGAGAGAAAAGTTGGCCGCCGAAAGAGCGAGAGAAGAAAGAGAGGAAAGGGAGCGGCAGCGTCAGCACGAGATGGAACTCGAGCGGCTCCGTTTGCAACAGCGAAGCGAAACTCCGGTCCAAGCTAGAGTTGAAAGCAGCGAACGAGAGGATCACGGCTTCCGCTTGAACCCAAGCAAGCTGCTCGTAGCGTTTGATGAAAGGAAGGACGACCTAGACGCGTACCTCCATCGATTTGAGACGATTGCGAAGAGCCAGAATTGGCCGGAACAGCAATGGGCAACTGCTTTGAGTACTTGCTTGTGTGGTGAAGCGCTCAGTGTGTACGGTAGGCTGACGCCGACCGATGCAGCCAACTACGCAAAGGTGAAGGCTGCTTTGTTGAAGCGATTTAGATTCACTGTGGAAGGATTCCGGGACAGATTTCGGACAGGAAAGCCAGCTGATGGTGAGACGGCTACGCAGTATGCCGCCCGACTTTGCCATTATTTCGACAGATGGATTGAACTTTCAGGGACAGCGCAGGAGTACGATGAGCTTAGAGAGCTCCTAATTAGAGAACAATTTCTTACTAGTTGCCACCCAAGCCTGTCGCTGTACTTGAAAGAGAGGAGAGCTAAGTCACTTGAAGACATGCTTGAATTAGCTGATCAATTCTTGGAAGCGCAAGGTGGCACTAATTTGGCCAAAGTCAAGAAGGAGTGTCCCGAGGATTCGAAGAAATTGGCTCCCGAGGAAAAGAAGCGTGCACCGGAGAACATTCAGCGATGTTTTCTGTGCAACCGAGTAGGTCATCGCGCGAAAAATTGTCGAACGATCTTTACGAGCCCTACGGTAGTGAAATGTTTTAAGTGTGGTCAGACTGGGCACAAAGCCGACGCTTGTCGGAACGGAGTGAGTCAAACTCACCAGGTATCTTGTGTGCAAGCGGCACCGAAATCTGATAATAATGCCGTCACTGATGGATTCGTAGAGTTGAAGAATGGGGAGAAAATTCCTATTGTGGGGGCTGTAATGTCAAAACAGCCAACCGGTGTTACGAAGGGAATGCCAACGCTTCCTGGAAAGATTGCAGGCAAGAAGATTACGGTTCTAAGAGACACCGGTAGCTCCACGGTTATCGTGAGGAGAAATTTGGTACGGGAAAGAGAGTTGACAGGCAGAACGAAACCGGTTTGCCTAATTGACCGTACGGTCCGGATGCTTCCCGAAGCAGAAATTGAGGTTGAAACCCCGTACTTCAGCGGGAAGGTTACTGCGTTATGCATGACGACCCCCCTGTATGACCTTGTCATCGGAAACATCGACGGGGCGCGAGGGCCAAGTGATCCAGAATGTTTGGGAGAAGACCCGAAGATAGAGCCCTCGCCAACACAGCGGCCGCGAGATACAGTGGAGGAGCATCCCGTGACGGATCTCACTAGAGCCCGAGGCGAAGCAGCGGCGCAAGAGACAGCGAAGGAGAAGACGATCGTGTCGAATAAGTTCACGGGCCGAGCAACCGGACTTACGTCGGCACGACCTCAACCGACCGACAGTGAAAAGGAGACGGAGTTGGCCAGCCGGGCAAAATGTAGAGGCATTATCAAGCGGGTAAATAAACAGACAGGACCCGTCGAATGTAATGACGCGTTAACGGTGTCGGAAGAGACAACGATGGCTGAGACGACGCCTCAGATATCGTCGTTGGAAAGGGCTCGCCGAAAAAGAACGTGGAAGCACAAGAAGAGATCGAGCGAGCACCGCAAAAAGGGGCGCAAGCGCTGTTCGAAGCACTCAAGATAGGTGCTGAGGTGGAATCAGAATGTGTTCGGCAGGGCTGAGTGACATATGTTGTGTTAATGTTCTCGTTATCCTGTGTCTCAAGTGTATGTCGAGCGAGTCAGTGTTCTGTACGATGATGTGATGTATAGTGTTGTATAATTGTTGTATAGACAGAACTTTGTACGTTTGTATTGCTTGAAATGTGTGATGAAGTGTTGTAGACATGTACCTGTGGCTAAATTTCATGTGTTGTGGAATTGAACAACAATGTAAGATTGTATTGCGTGATATATTGTGAATGTGAAGTGTCATGAGCGACGGATTGTGTTACAGTCTGTGAGAATGTGTAGTGACTGTTCGCGCTCGTTTGTGTGGTTTTGAATATTATGAGATAATATTCTTAAAGTGGGGGGCAGTGTCACAGAACGAGCGCTAAACAAGAGCGCGCCGCCAAATCCTTGCGACAACGGGCGGCAGAAACGCCGCGAGGTAAAAAGAGAGAAAAAAAAAAGAAAGCAAACATCCAGGGCTCCCGGGCGCGCGCTCTCCCCGCAGAAGCACGGCTTCGTAGACGATCCTCCTCACCCCACATCTGCGGCCCAGCAAGACCGCGATTTCTCTCGAACGAACGGGGCGGGGTCAGACCGAGCTGAGTCATCCGACGCGGAGGGCAGACAAACCGTCTCGCCTCTCCCCAGCCTTCGCTGCGTATCGCGCCGACGAAATGACGAGAAAGATCTGGAAAGTCGCGCGCAAGGTATTTAACCGAGCAGCCGAGACGAGAATCAGGAGGTGACGGAAGTTAACGCCAGAGCGCGTAGGAATTCCGCCGTGTAGTCGGCGAAGGTTCTGCCCGTAGTGACAGAACAGGAGGAGACGGAAGTGAGCGCCAGAGTGCGTAGAGAGTCCGCCGTGTAGTCGGCGAAGTTTTTGGTCTCGAAGGGACGGCTCGAGCTACAGGCAAGAGCGTGGGTTTACCGCTATTGAGCGAAGACGCGGGCACAGCTGCGTGTGGGAAGCCGACGGATTTCCGGCGAAGAAGTTGAAGTTTGAAGAGGTGGCCAATTGAGACGGGAGGTTTCCTGGAAGAGAAACTTCAGAGAGCTGCGGAATGACAACAACGCTGGACTTTGAGTGAGTGATTCTCGGAAGAGTATCATTCAGACTTTTGTTCCAAGGACTTTGGACTGAATAGGCTTTCTATCTCTTAGTCCTTAAGTGTCTTGGTTGTTCAATGCATGTGACTGCATCGTAGTGCGTATTGTTGTCTGTGTCCGTTGTTTCAAGTGTGGTTGATTGTACTGTGTAGTACATTGTCTGTTTGTGACGTATTGTATGTAACTATTGTGGAGTGTGCACTCATTCTTACTGTTAAACCAAATCAAAATATATTATAGGCAGCACGTTTTGCAAATGGTGGGATCTCTCTAGTGTCATCAACAGTCCTTGCTAAAGGCAAAGCCCCCTCTGAGTACCAAAGTGCATGTATCCTGTAGTTTCCCGCCCACACAGTCGTCGACCACACTGAGGTCAATATTAATGAGGTGGCGCACAACGTGACGAGAGGTCTCTCGTTCCGAGGTGCGTCTGTAGTTGACATCACCCGTACAGTCTCTCTTGTGGAGGAATGGAAGTTGGGGGGATTGACTTACCAAATTCAACGATACTACCCAACACTTAACATCAACGAAGAGAATACTCCCCCCGCCTCACAGCACACTCAGTCAGGCTTAGTCTGTTCAATGGTGGCAATTACAAACAAGCAGCTATACTAATCACATAACTATGCAACACATTTACCCCAATTTTTATTTGACCAGATTGTGCAAGATCGCAATAATAGGGCCACACTACCGCATATTCTCCGGGAGTGTCCAGAACTAATTGGCAAAATGAGAGACATGGCCTCCAGTAAGGACCTTCATGAGCGTTGGCATACGGCACTGCTCAGCTCAGGATTAGATAATCAACTCTGGCTGATCCAGCAGGCCAAAGAAGCTGCTGAGAGACATGGTCTTTCGGCCGACTCTTAGGCGGGAACCCAGCCCGGTAACCTCCAGGAGTTCACTCACACTTGTCACTAATAACCAGTTGGAAGTGCCCCCGCATTCAGGACTCTTGAACAACACCAGCATGTCGAGTTTCCAAATTTGGTGTCAGGGGGCCTTTAACATTTGACCTAACCTAGCTTAGGCCAAATCCTTTTTTTTTTTTTGCCGTTATTGCCTGTTTGTTTTCTGTGATTGCTAAAATGTAATTATTATGCCTTGTGGAAATTAATGTACTGTGAGTATGTAAGTAAAAGTCACGAATTGCCTATAATTATTTATGTCTTTTCTTTATTCATTTCTTTACACGCAGGAGATCACAAAAACAGAGGTTCATCTTGTTCACCAGGAACATGAATCGTACGGGTACACGGAGAAGGACAAAGAATTACAAATCTTGGCCTGCATGAGCACATCAGCTGTGGTGCGACTGAAGAGGATTGATGAGTTACTGCCAGAGAAGTTGCAGGCAGCATTACTTCGTTCATGACCATCACTTTGTTGGCTGGCCCTCCGTGAGATCTTACCGTGTTGAGAGAATTTTCAGATCCTCAAGCTGCCCGCAAATTAGAGGACAGTGGTTTGACAGAGTGATGAAGTTAGACCAAACAGAATAATTGTGTTCGCCACAAGTTCTGGCTCAGATGCTGCGATATTTTTGTCTTCAAAGACAAGATTCTTTGCAATGCACCCATCATTTGTAAAGCACCCCAAATGGTGTGCTTAGTAACAGATTCCAGAGGAATTCCAGCGTCATAAATAGAAACGCCTACAGTGTGCTTTGTAAAGTTTGGCAAATATTATTTAATAAATGTTTTGTTGCAAGTTTACGATACTAGTGAGAAGTGGTGGTAGGTTGCATGCGGTAGTAAATGCGGTGGAGGGTCATCAAATAAAACCTTATTTGAAAAATGTAGTAGGTTAAAGCCTCGTCACCTGATGAATTTGTGAACACAAAGAGTTCGACGGCTTTGTTACTTCTAGCTGACAATTTTAGCTCCATCCACACCCCAAGTTCATAAATTTTTTTATCTTTGAAGCTTCTATATTCCTCTGAACTTCTGCTATACATGTAAACTTTCGTCATCAAGCCCGGCACGTGCCTTCTGGCTCGTTCACTCAAGCCTCTCTCCCTCTCTCGAAGTAGTCTAGCTAGGTGAAAGAATCGCACCAAAACAAGCACAAAGGACGGGATGATGACAGGACATGCGCAGTACTCTCGAATGAAGCTTTTATTGAAAAAAAGGCCCATTGCATGCAGCCAGCATCGACGCTAAAACATTGTCGCAGAAGCGACATAGTGAACCTCATCAAGATGTGATCAGCAGGAGGGACATAGCCTAGTTGAAACACACACTGTCATAAACTATATCGTTTATTGGAATTGGTGACGTGCTCAAATGCTTTTGGTGAGAGGGTTACAGATATTTTGCTTGTGCATTTCATTCAGATGTGAAAAGCTTGAAATAACTATCTTGTTATTTTACTATGATGTTAAAAAGGATAGCAGTATCAATGAAATTGGGATTGCGTCCACACGAAAGGCAATCATTGGAGAGATGATAAAGGTCCCTCTATTTTTCCAAGCAAGCGCAAATCATTGTACGAAAAGGAAACTGGGAATTCCTTCCCCACCCTCTACGTCTCTCCCCTTCGCTCTTCCGCCCCATTGGACCAGGCACGGCGCGTGACCTGTTGTCTCCGATGGCCCCTCCACTGTTTTCAGGCGCTGGTGCTCTCGCCGCTGGATGACGCCACTATTGAGCATAGACACACCACTGCACGTTTGCGCTGGACGTGAGCGCAGGCTCTTCGTAGTTTTGGACAGTCTTTTCAATGATATCACCCAAGACTGTTAACTATGGCATAACAAGAGTATGACGAACAAGTGTGAGAGCTTGAACGCTCAAATCATGACACGCATGTCATGTACTGCATGATTGACATGGTCTTGGGGTGCCTCGCGGCTGTCATAAATTGTTATTGACATTTTGATATGACGAACAAAATGACAAGTTCTAACATAAAAAGGATGACATGTGCACAGGGGTGAAACAGCTGCGCCATTGAGCACCAAACTCGCTTACCTGCACCGAACCACCCCTGCAGTGCCAAACGCGCCTGTCAGCGCCGTACTGCATGTGAAAGCCATCAAGCGCCGTGCCTGGAAACGTGGCTGAAACATTGTCTTTTTGGTTTGATCGAAACGGGTAAGTTTTGGTTTCGTAAAGGCTGTGATCGCTCCAGGAGCAGTTTTGAACTTCGATCCTAAGGGCGTTGTCGATATCGCTACAGCGGGGGCGCGCAGCATCGAGGCACCCTAGATATCGCTCTACGCGAGCGATCACGGCAGGCATCAGCGCGAATAGCTCCTGAATGTGCTGTGCTCTCAATGCGAAGAGACAGCGATAAGAGAATTCTTGCTGTTTTGTAGAGTTACGTGATATCGGATCTAAGAGAGTACTTGGCTGCCAGCCATACTATTTGTTGCAGTCTGATTCGTTGCTTCGCCGTTCCGGCGAAACTGTGTGTGAGTGTGTGTGTGTTTGTTTTAGGTGTGACGCTTCTAAGCCATGGGCCATGCGTCCACGACGTATGTAGTAGTAATAGTCGTAGTAGTAGTAGTATCAGTAGTAGTAATAGTAGGTAGCCACCTCTTGTTTAGTACTTGGAATGTCCGCTGAATGGCTGTACTTCTTTCTAAATGATGAAGAATATATGATGAAAAGATGCCAGATGGCGGTGCTTCGAGGGTTCAGTGTTCACTAGATGGATAGACGTCCGCACAGACAAGCAGACGGACGAACAGACGGACTGACAAACGCTTGGCCCCACTGATCATCATTCACCACGTGGATAGGCTGTGATATATAACGCAATGTCAGTATTCGGAAAAGAAATCGAGGATGGCAGTAACGGCGCCAGTTGTTTCCTTCTTTCATGAATGACACTCAAAAGAAATAGTGGGGGGGGGCATTCCTTGGAACTCCCTCGCATAGACCGGTGGGTTGTTGCGACCGGGGTTTGCAGGCACCGGAGGTCTGGGATGAAGTAGTCAAGACAGGAGGAAGAGAGACTTGAAGAGGGTTTATTTACATTATATGCAAGGTGAGCTCTGTACATGACGAGCTCTTTCTTACACGGCGATCTTTCGAATCTGGCGTTCCTCTACATGGCGCTCTTTCGAATGAGCCGGGTGGCTCATTATAAAGGGTATATGCTCCCAGATTTCTAAATCGGGGAACATGTGCAGATGGTACTGCCCAATCACATATCACACACAACTGGCGAGGGTGACGAGCATGCACGGCCCACGTGAACGTCCAATATTCAGCCGTGATCACTGCAATCCAAGGTGGCGCCAGCGGGGCTCTTCCTCATCGTGTGTGTGCCGCTGGTCGAGGGGTCCCAAGCTCCTGACAGCGTACTTCAAAGGGTCCGCCGAACAGCTGGCCTAATTAGCGGGGCGATTTGCAGCGGCCGAGGTGTTCGCTTCCAAGGAAGATGCTGTATTTGTTGTCCTCTCTCGAGGCCTCGTGGCGACACGAGGTCTCACCCACCGGCTAAGAGGGACAATGCCTGGCGGTCATAGGCAGCCGGCCGGTCGGCTACTTGTTTGAAGATCCAAAGAGCGCCGCTCCCTCGTCAGCTGTGGCGCCAGTCACAACAGAGTGCACACGAGTGCTCATTGGGCGTATGTGCGTATTCTCGTTCATTCGGTCACTGCTTCGCGATTATCGACTCGGTGCTTGACAATTGCGAGTTCAGGTAAAAAAACAAAATAAACATGGGCGGCTGGAAGTTCCACCGCAAGTGTGGAGTAATGAATGCGATAGCAGCAAACTGTAAGGTTATACGAAGCGACACTGGCAGCTAACTTATTCGGATCCGATTTCATGTAACTGTGCAAAACGCTGGTGTACGAGAATATGACCACTGCAAGCAGAGCAACACTGTTTGCACGTTCTTGATGCGATGAGAGTGCAGCACGTAAAAATGTATGCGAGTCGCCCGCTGATGGCTGCCGAGCTAGTGTGTGCACAAGCAATCGCTACCACGCCCTTAGATGCAAAGTTCATAGTTGCTCGAGTATCACCTGCCCTCCCCTCCTCCTCCCCGCTTGTTGGTTCAGAGGCGAAGTACCTTAGACCGCGGCTCGTTCCCTCCTCTGTAGTCGTAGTAGCAGTATGTAGCCTCAAGTTTATGAGTTGCTCATTAGATGACGTTGCGTGTATATGTCCTTGGCAATAATATAACTAGATGGCGTTGGTGGTTTTCACTACTAGAGTTACTGTATATATGGTACCTATAAGTAGCATAATTGCGCCACTGAATGAACTCGCCGCTCGTGCCCCCAGTCGCCAAGCGCACTCACGTGTGCAAAGTGTTCATTTTAGGGAAAGCCAACTTTACGGCCGCACTGGTGCTGGCGACCGCCGCGCCAATTCACCACCGCCGCTACCCAAGCAGATTCGTGCGGCTATCCTGCTGAGTGCAAAGTGCTACTTCGTTGGTGTTGTGATTGTGTATTTTATTCTGCGTTTTGGTGAATGCCAGTGTGGTGGTGTCGATGCGGCGCAGCGCAGTAAGTACGTACTGCGCAGTTGCCACGATGGCAGGATGTTGCGACCGGTCTTTGCGGCACCAAAGATCCGGGAGGTAGATGTCGAGGCAGGAGCAAGTTCACCTATTAGAGCAAGTTTATTTACATTATGTACATCGCGAGCTCTCGTACATGACGAGCTCTTTCGTACATGGCGAGCTCTCGAATGTGGCGCTTCTCTACATGGCTCTCCTTCGAATGAGCTGGGTTGCTCATTATAAAAGGTACATTCTCCCCAGATCCCTACACCAGGGAACGCGTGCAGACTGCACTGTCCAATCACGTGCTACACTGTTACACACAACCTGCGAGGGTGGCGAGCATGCCGGCTCCTCGTAAACATCCAATAGTTAGGCGTCATCACTGCGCTCCAACGTGGCACCAGCGGGGCTTTTCCTTGTCTTGTGTGTGCCGCTGGGCGAGCAGTCCCGAACTCGCGACAGCATACACCAAAGGGGTCGCCGTAGCTGCAGATAAGGGTCCGGGGAACTGGGCGATTCGCGGCTGCCGCCGCTGTCTCTTCCTTCCAAGGTCTCTTCCTTCCACTCGCTGTCGTCTCACGAATGGCTTACGGCAATGTGGCAACATGATGCCTCACCCTCCGGCTAGGAGGGAGAATACCTGGTGGGCATAGGCAGCTGGACGGTCGGCTACTTATTTGAAGACCAAAAGCACGCCGTGTTGCGACCGGGGTTTGCAGGCACCAGAGGTCCGGGATGAAGTTGTCGAGGCAGGAGGAAGCTCTAGAGACTTGAACAGGGTTTATTTACATTATATGCAAGGTGAGCTCTCGTACATGACGAGCTCTTTCTTACACGGCGAGCTTTCGAATCTGGCGTTCCTCTACATGGCGCTCTATCGAATGAGCCGGGTGGCTCATTATAAAGGGTATGTGCTCCCCAGATCCTTAGATCAGAGAACATGTGCAGATGGTAGTGTCCAATCACATATCACACACAACTGGCGAGGGTGACGAGCATGCACGGCCCACGTGAACGTGCAATATTGAGCCGTGATCACTGCAATCAAAGGTGGCACCAGCGGGGCTCTTCCTCGTCCTGTGTGTGCCGCTGGTCCAGGAGTCCCAAGCTCCTGACATCATACTTCAAAGGGTCCGCCGAACAGCTCGCCTAATTAGCGGGGTGATTTGCAGTGGCCCCCGTGGTCTCTTCCAAGGAAGATGCTGTACCTGTTGTCGTCTCCCGAACAGCTTTGGGCGTCGTGGCG